CCTAGTTGACATTTTGTTATAGAAATACATTTCTGTAAATATTCGATATTTTTTTCCGACACATTTTAAAAAAAATTTACAAAGACAGACAAGATTTCTTGTACGCCTTAGATAGATTTCCCGGATAGAGATGATGATTATAACCCGTCCCTATGGGTAAAATAGGTTAAGTTGCCATAGTTCACAGTTTAAAATAAAAAGTTTTCAGTTTTCAAAACTCATTTTTTTCAAGAAGATTAAAAAAAATTATAAAGAAATTTTTTTTGCGAGCAGAAATTAAATATTTGTGAAAAGGTTACAAGTATGTGACTTTTCCTAAATGAAATTGTATGGAAGTAGCCAAATAATCTCTCACCGTTTTTATAGCTGTTCGGATTAATGAAACAAGGAACGACAAAGGCACATGCTCTGGCAAGCTCCACGCTCATGTAAGAGTACGAAATTTATTGGCATCTCGAAAATACCCATATAACTTACAACTTTAGGTTTAAAGTTTTCAGAAAGTTTTGTTTTCTTAAAATAAAATCTTTTAAATAAAATCATATTTTCTGGGGTTTTACCACAAGTATAACGTTTTGTAAATAGGAATAAGACATCCATATTTATCAAACTTATAGCATGTATATCTAAACCTGATTTCAACGGAATCCGCCTTTGATTTTGTCAACTATATTGGTCACACATGACGAAATAACTTGGCGTATTTGAGCACGCCAAGCTTAAATAAAGGCCAACCATGGAAGGTCGAACAAAAATGGGCTCTATATGCAGCCAAAAGAGTACCAGGACACAGAGGGGGATTGCAGCTAAGAATTTAAAGCTAGATGTAAACGACTAAAGTCCATCCTTTACTTTATTTCATATGAATTGCTGGATTTTCATTCAGCCTTCACTAAACTGTATGCCCTTAAGTGCCACCCACAGACTACAACATACCAGAGACCTAGCTCAAGTATACAAACAGCCAAACAAGTGCACAAGAGCTGATTTTTTTTAGTAATCAAAATATGGTAAAATTAACCTTTTTTCTTATTTTTTTATGCAGCGGCTAAAGAATCGCGTTGATTTTTAATACACAATTTTCTTTTTCATGACGGTTTTTCCATTTTTTTATATAACAAGATCATGCTTGTTTTTTGAAATATCGTTGCGAACGGCAATGCGCATTTTATTTCATAAAACACTCGTGCCAGTAAGACAGTAAGACAGAAGTGGTCTAATTCACTAGAGAGTATAAAATCTCCCACGCTGGTCTTCTCTCTGTTGGAGGTCATCGCTTACAACTATCTAGCAAGGTCAAGTAATTGAGCTTGATCCTTAACAGGAAGCTTTCGTGGAGGTGGAACATCGAAGAAAGAGTAAGGACAGCATCAGTGGCCGTAAACTGCTGTAGGTGAGCTAATTTGGCCCAAAGTTTTCTATTAGCTTTACTAAACCGTGGTCAAGCCTCTTATATTTTATAGAACCCTAGTCAAATAGGCACTTACAAAGATGGGGCGGCGCCGCTCAGGAATAAAAGCCGCTCACCGCTCAGCCGCTCATTGTGTGGCCTCGGCCTTAACGTAATGCTGAATATAGTTCCTGTCGACAGTGCAGACAAAACTGCTGCAGCAGCAACAGCTATTCGACTCAGTGAAGCCGTGTGGTTGACCGGCTTAAGAACTGGACACTCTACTGAAGTTCTGAAGGACTTCGATTTCATTACTGCGCGACTGGAATGGCTCCTAAGATCTTCGTCTCTGCCGACATTCCCTCGAGGGAGGAGGATCGCCGGAACCTCTGGAGAGGGGAAGCAATGAACTTCTTCACGGAGCGATCGAAACTGGACGGCAGGGTTGGGTAATGGGTCTGCTGTTGATAACTTCTCATAAACACTAACTTCAAGCTTCCGGACTGCTGTAGGGTATTTCAGACAGAAGTGGCTGCTATTAAGGAGGCAGTGGATTCACTGCTGATGAGTGCGATGACAGAAGGGATGTTTTTCTGGCAAGGCTTTTTATAGCTGACTGATGTTCCAAAGGATTTTTCAATTTAACATTGGGATACTGCAAGAATTATCTATAATTTCCTAAATATTTCTGGTTAGTTACCAGTTTTTCATAAATTTATGGGGCAAAATTTGTCAAGTGTATCAGAAAAAAAATGTTAAATCAGCATATTTTTCAAACTCCACCACTTGTTGCTATGGTTACTGATAACCAGGGAACGGATTTTTAGGACCTAAAAACCTATAAAAAAGGCAAAATAAAATAGCGAAAAAGGCAGGAAAAGGCACTAGGTATTGCAAAATAAGGCACTAAAAAAAGACAGAAAATACGAAGAACAATCAAAAAATACATTTATTTTAGAAATGTTTATATTACAAGTAAAAAAAAAAAACTATGAACTAGTTTCATTATATGACAAATTTGTACTTTGAATCTTTGACTATTTTATCCTTTCGAGTTTTTACCTCTTAAAACTTTAATCTGTATAGTTGTAACATTANTTTGTACTTTGAATCTTTGACTATTTTATCCTTTCGAGTTTCTACCTCTTAAAACTTTAATCTGTATAGTTGTAGTAACATTGAATCACAAGATGCATTTTGAAGCTTTCTGGCAGCATTTTCATTCGATTTTCGCGAAGAAAAGCCTTTTAGGCATGGGTAACACTGCGCTGCGCGGCGCAATTGCGTTAACACCGTAGCCGGAGTTGCCGCGCCAACACCAGTATGTGGAAAGCGCCAGCGCCATTAACACCAAGCAACACATAAGGCACACACACAATTCGCCTTAACTCTATGAAAATTTACACGTACTTTGTTTTTGCTTTTGAGTGTTGAGAACGCAAATTTAAAGCTTTTATTCAAGAATGATAGAATATCGTGGCATTTACTACATTCCTAGCAATTAAATTCAGTTGGCGGTACAAGCGTTGCTCAGCGCCGAAAATTTTAGAAATAATAGACATGACACCACTGTATGGTGTACTGCACTGTATGACGATGGGTACTGTGGTGACACTCAGATGGCGCCGTGTTCAATTCAGTACACTGCGCTATTGCGGTGGGTTAGTGCGCTGACACCACAGGTGGCGCTGGCGTTATTGAGCTAGCGCCAAAAAAATTGCGCAATTACCCATGGCTAAAGCCTTGAATGTACTAAATGTGCGCTCGACGTAAGTTGATACAAGTGGAGCCCAATTTAAATATGGAACGTTTGAAACGGCGTTTTCCTCGCCCTTTACAATTTTATCCACACCTCTTATTGTCTCTAAGCCTACGTTAGCTGAGAAAACGGCTTTGAATTTTTCCAACACCAATTTGGCAAGAGGTCCCTGCGCTTCTATAAGCCACATGTGCACGTGTATATTTTTCAATCTAAAAAAAAATTGTAAATGCTATAATCACTTTTTTAAAGGTAGAAGAGGTAAAAAAAAGGCAAATATCTTAAAAAAGGCAAAAAAGGCAACATTAAATGTGTATACATATATGGAATCAGGGAAAGCTTAAGCGTGGATATTCTTAATCGAATATACTCTATCTCTTTAGCAGAAAAAAGGCATTTTCCATCAAATCCGTTCCCTGCTGATAACCAATGTGTAAAATAATTTTTTTTTTCTGCCGCGGTTTTTTGTCGAGTTATACGAGTTTAAACATGCAAAACTTTAGCCCTTTTTCTTAGAGTCACAAGTTTTCTTAAAATTCACATCTTATGTCACACTTATGATAGAGCATCAAAAATTGCTGACCTATTAAAACTTTTTGTTAGAAACTATAATTTTTATAAAATTTTGTTTGCAGAAAATTTGCACATACATTATACATTCTAATGTAAAATTTTTCGCCAAATCCGAATACGAAAGTAGAACAGTTTTTGAAACATAGCCGAATTTCGGGTTTTTAAGATCTGAAATACGAAATCAGAATGCAAGAAAGTAGAAATTTTTTTGAGATATTGCCAAATTTCGGGCTTTTGGGATCAATAAAAAGTACACTCACTTAAATGCAATTTTGTTTGGATGTGGTTGGTTAATCTTAAATTTCTTTATATATTAATAAAGGCATTTTAATTTTCTATCATATGCGTTAACCAATTTATTCAACTTAATAAGCAGTTTAGGAGCTATACAGGAGCTATAAAGATGTATGTATGTATGCAGTGAAAGAAATTTTTTTTGAAACTTTCGTTTTGTTTGCTGCCATAAAATATTTTTCCTGGTACACTTGACAAATTTTGCCTCATATATCGAGGGTTTATTATCAATATGACCCATCTGCAGTTTTCACGGAAGTGAGATTCCTATATAAAAATCCACCTTAAAATTAACTGTCATCGATGATGTTTATGCTTACCTTGTATATAAATTTTTAGATGAGTTAACTAATGACTTTTAAAGTTAAAATTGCAGTCAATGATAACAATTAAGTCTCAGATTGGTGCTAACATCAAAATGTAGTTTTTGTAAAAATTGTAGACAGGTCGTAGCCGCACCACATTTTGACAAGTTTTAACATTTTATTTTTGTTGCTATTTAATTTTGGTTATTTTTTTATAAAAGTATAGTTCATTCTTTAACAAACCCCGTATAAATCCAAGTTTTAAACTTTATGCAATATTAAAAAAAAAAAATCGGCAAACTTTCGTAAAAATTTCTGACTTTTAATTGGATTTCCTAGAAAAATTCTGAGTATGCAGTTTAAAGAATGAACTATATTTTTATAAAACATAGCCGAAATTAAATAATAACAAAAATAATATGTTAAAACTTGTCAAAATGTGGCGCGGCTATAATTATTTCGACCACTGTAAGCCCTCGATATGTAGGTATGTTTTTTTTTAACTGCCACCAACGTCTGAATAACTCCAGCCCATTCATTGTACTGCTGAAATTTCATAAAAACTTTCCTTATTCACATCTGCAGAAATGTTTAACAGTTTAAAAGCTAAACTTGTTCCTTCATAAATATTTACATTTCTATGCACTACTTTTAAAAATGCATTGCATAAATTACTTACCATGTCGACATCTTGCTAGAAATCAAATCCACATACAATTTATTCCAACTTGTACACTTTTGGGTGCCACAAAATTCGCAGAAATAACGTGGTAACAATAACTTTTTCACTTATAGCTTACACGTACATACAAACTCGTACATGCATATATGTACATGTATTTTTCACAATTGGCTCGTAAGCCTATAAGCTTGTAACTTGTATTTGATTTGCATGAAAGAGGATTACTTTTTATTTAAAAATAAATATAAAAAAACACAACAGTTTCAAGCGTTGGCAAAAATCAGACACAGGCACAGTTGCTGGCTAAAATTTTACACTGAAAAAAAAAACACGAACAAAAACGAAAATGAAAGGCTTGTTGTTTTTCTGTGTTGCAATATTTTGGTAGTGAGGCTGTCTGGAAGAGGCTGCAGCAGACCGAACAAACGACTGACGACGACGACGAAACGGTGCCAACAATTTGCACGTGTATATGCATGTGTGTGTGCATGTGTGTATGTATATATTTATGTAACGCTCTACACTTTTGCTAGTATGTATGTACATTAGGGAGGTCCGAAAATAGTAAAGTCAGAATTTGTATGCTCTCATAGGATCCATCCCATAGGATTGTCCTATCTCTGAAAAAAATATACCCCCTTTTTTTATTTTGAAATCAAAAAATATTTAGATGTCGCACAAAGCGCTCAAAGTTTTCCATGTATTTTTATATGGGAAAAATATTCTTTTTTTATAGAAATGAAATAGAATTCTGTAAAGTCAATATTTTTCTATCGGAAACCCCTGGTTCTCTTCAGGAGACTTTCAGTAATAATACCCAATTGTTTATTTAACCATTTTTTAGTACTAACGATTTTTTATTGGTAGCCCCATTGCATTTTTCGAGGTTTTTGTGGGTTTTTGGCGGACCTATAAATTATAGTAGCAATGAAAAAATGGTTAATGGATTTTCTGGCAGAAAAATATGGATTTTTAACTACTCTATATCATTTCTTCGAAAAGTGGTTTTTTCCCCATATAAAATACATGGAAAACTTCGGGCGCTTTGAGCGACCTCTAAATATTTTTTGATTTCAAAAAAAAAAATAAAATGAGGGTATGTTTTTTCGGTGTAGAATAATCCTGGGGGGGGGGTGAGAGCATACAAATTCCAACTTAACTTCTTCGCATGCATTTTTGGACCACCCTAATGTGCATAGTTGTACATGCATAGTAGCCATTCAGCTGCTGATGGCAAGAGGATCGGGTCTTCTTAGTTAGTGTAAATACCACGAACGAAGCAAAAGCAAATTTGTACGCTTTGTTTACATAATCCCTGTGCCATTTGTATGCACCGCCGCAGCAGCTGTGACCAAGGGACCTCTGACACTGTTATCGTTTTGCTGCAAAAATCTTGTTGTTGACCTATGCTTTGTTATTTTAACTTTTTGTTATTCTAAAGTCAATGCTTTTACTAATATTAATGGTTTTCTATTATCATTGACATTATATTGAAGGTTTGTTCAACTTACAGACTTCAGCCTTTTTTAGTTAATGACTTTCATTAATGATTTAGTTTTTTTAAATTACTTACTTTTTACATTTTCAAAATGCCTCGCACAAGCGCACACACACACAAACGGGCATTGACTTAATAAGCTTTTTATGCGATGTGGGCGTCACCGAAATTATGTAGGCCATGAATTATAAAAAGGGCAAAAGTAAAAAAAAAATTGAATTTGGGTCAAATTTCATAAATTATCAGGAAAAGTAAGGGCACCAACAGTTCAAGTGGAAGTGCGAAAATGAACAGTGAAAATGGAGAAAATAAATGTAAGCAATCGAAAAAGGACGAAAAAGCCATTTAACTGCTCACTTTCACACGCTTCCAAATAACCAAAGGCGCGATATAGCGTGGGGAAGATGGAGCATAGCTTAGAAACCATAAATGCTACAAATGTACTAACATTAATTTTGACACGCACATGCACATGATAGGCGGTATGATAGCTTGCGTGTCCATAAAATTATATATGATGGGCCAAAAAAAGGGCACGAAATCTGCTTTAAACTAAAATTTAAGATTCAAATTTAAAATATGACCAAAGGACGTTACTTTAAAAGTACGTGTACACGTGTTGACCATAATTCACAAACGAAAAAAGAATTAGAACACCACTTCATGTCAACACAGATAAATGTTGTCTGTCAGTTTGCAAGAACCTCACTTACTCACATATACATACTTCTTACATATCAGTTCACTCACTTTCACTTTGATATTTATTATTATTTGTTTGTCCCCCTTCTTTCGCTTAATTATTTATTTCAAATTTTCTTCCGAATAATTCTTATTTAGCTCGCCTTCAACACTCTGTTTACTCAATCTCACTTCACACTTTATTAAATATAAATATATATCTTCACTAGCTTTCAGTCCTTTAGTGTCCTTAGCTATATATCCTTTTGCTTGGTCGCCTGCAAAAGTGTCAGTGTGTAAGCCGCAGAAGAGAATTAGCAGTTATGGCTTTACCGCGCTGCGTTGCGTATATTTGGCGTTCGAAAATACGACTGAACGTTGAACAAGAAAACGACAGTGAAAAGCTTTGCAGTGTTTTGAGCAGGCCATACGACGTACGTACATATGCTGCACGCATACACTCATAGCTGGTGCCAGTAGTAGCAGAAGGCGAACGCTTGAGTGAAAATTTGATTCTGTTAAGGTTAAGCGCGCCTAACTTTAGTTAGGCTAGTGAGTCTCTACTGCATGCATTGGCAATAACGACCAGTTACACAGCATGGCAAGGCAACTGTGTAGCCACTATGTTTTCTAAGGAACTAATACCATTACACAAGTGTGTTAAGTTCACACAGCCATTTACAACAGCAAAGTCGCATGCCTTGATTTTAATTTTGAGTTCTTCTTCACGCTTTGTTGAGCCAAACAAGTGAGCCAAGTATTTGGATATGCAAACAAGGCTTATATATAGTGAATGATTTCAAAAATAGTTTCACTCACTTTTTTTCTGAAGGAAATTTAGGCGCCAGCTTGCTGTGTTTACAAATCTCACCATGTCTGTAAGTCATAACTAGGGCAACCAAAGATATGCCGTAAAAACATGATTTTAAGCGCTTTAAATATGCAAGATGAAATAAGAGATAGTAGTTCGAAAATTACCAGACTTTCACCAAGTACAAAACGATTTATTCATGCCCGATTTTATTTGACTTCGACAGTTTAATACAATAAAGTACACAAAATATTATAACTTTTATTTGGGTATATTGTAAACAATTAAAGACCTGTTAAATAATGCTTGATAATTATAATGATTATTAATTAAAGGACGTTTTTTTTTTGGATTACCGTTTTATGATTAAATAACAATATTAGCAACTTTTAAATGATTAATAATTAATTAAAAATTGCTAATTAGTTCATTAATTTTAATTACATGATTATCTTGTTATTTTTGATAATTTTCAATTATTTTTGACTTTTTTAAATTACACGATTAATATAATTATTTTGTTAGTATCAATTATCAATCAACAAGCCATATAGGCAAAAATTAAAAATATTTAATAATTGTATGAATTATTTATTTATTTTATTCTCATCCAAATCTCAAATTTAAGCTTTAATTATTATTTTTACAATATTTACTTTAATTTAATGAAAACTTTTATTTTTATTTAATTTTACTCGAAAATGTACTAAAGTATTTATTTTATTTTTAACTAACAATTTTTTTTTTCATATCTAATATTAATAAAAAAGATAAAAAATATAGTATTTATTGTAACTGAAAGCTTTTACTCTTGATAACATTTAATGAAAAATGCATTTAAATCTATGGTCTAAAAGTTTGAAATATGTATGTACTTATTCTTCCTTATAATTAATACCCAAAATATTTAACACTAAAATTGTTGGCAAATCTAAGACTGCTAAATAAAAATGTGTTCTTATTCAAGCGTTTTTTATTGTACACTCATGAATTCATTTTATTTTTTGACTCCCAACCCACTTTCCATAATTGGACTAGTATTTTTCTATCTATTTTGAACTAGTAAGAGATTGGTATATTTCTGACCGAAATCTGACAATTACCACCTCGCAGGACATCCCCATGTTAAAAATACCAGTTGATTGCATGGAAAAAGGATAGTTGGCTGACTAGTTGGGCATGCGGTTCATACTAGTTGTGAGGTAGTTTACAACTAGTTCATTTGACTACAGCCCAGTGGGAAAATGCATTGTATAGTAATCGAAAAAATAATCGTAAAACAGCCCTTTTCACATTCGAAAATGCATTTTTTCCCCCACGGCGATGTCCTAGGAAAGTGGGGCATTCATTTTTGCATTACCAGGAATGCAGGAATGAATGATGCTGATTACATATTAAGCAGTAATAGAATCAAAAACTCATAAGACATACATTACATTATTTATCACGCATATAATGCATTACTACTTTTCCCACTGGTAGGGTTTCTATCAATTGCCACTGGCCCTATAATTAAAATAATTAAATTTTTTTTATATGCATTTATTTAGCATGTATTTCTAAAATATGCAAAAAAAATTCATTTAATGCGAAATATACTCTAACAAATATGGCTAAAATACTTTATCTTTTTTCAATTGGCATTTCCTCTTTATGCATTTTGTGATAAAGCATAAGAAAAAAAAACAAGCTCGAGCACATTTTTGGTTGCCCTAGTCATAACACTGAGCTCGTAATATTATTTATATATAAGCATGGTGGGTTTCGCTCACCTCCAAAAAGAACTCGCTTATACATACAAATGTACATATGTATGTATGTTTATACAATAGCGAATTCGGTCAAAGTGCATATCTGTGTGTGAGTGTATAATAAATTTATTTCACTCATTTTATTTAAGAACACTTCCAAGCATTAATTTTTATTAATTTCCAACAATTCATCTTGCCTAGCTCGCTATTGAGATTCTATATAAAGCGATAATCAACCACAAGCTTTTATATTTGTTTACCTTAGGCAATTAATTTTTATTCGAATTTCTAAATATACCACAGAGATTTCCGCACGTTGCAAGTTTACCCATTGCTGTAAAATTTTATAAGTTCAGTGAGCGTTTTCAATTGATAAAATACTTCAATTTGTATGCTATAATTTATTTTTGAAAAATATAAACACGAATACACATTATCGGCAAATAAATGAAATAATGCAGCTGAAAACCAATTCGGAAGTGTGTGTTGATTTTTATTACTAAAAGAGCGACTTTTATGATCGTCTAGGGTATTTTGTTAAAAAAAAATCAATTAAAGGCATACTGTATTTTAAATGCGCTTTGAAACAATACACAAATGTTGTAAGTAATTTTGGAAAGGAAAATAGAAAAGTAAGAAGAATCGGCGAGTGCCGTACAAGGTTGGAGTCGAAATAACTTGAATTAATAAGAGTATATAAATAATAGATGTAGCGATATCAGGTCAGTTTGCTTCGATCGTATGTGAAATTATGGAAAGGGCTCTAAAGACGGTACTTTTCTGGGCCATAAACTGTTCTCATAGAGTAAACCATGGAACAGAACTGGATCTTTCAAACAAGGTGAAATACCTTGGAGTTATTCTGAATCCCAAACTTAACTGGAAATCAAACATTGAAGAGCGTACGAGGAAGGCCACGGTGGCTCTTTATGCAGCCAAGGGACTGTTGGGCAACAGATGGAGTTTGAAACCCAGAAGTGTGCTTTGAATGTACATAAACAGCTATAGTCCGAGCCATAATCTTCTACGGTGCGCTGGTATGGTGGCCAACCCTATACTAAGGATTACGTAGTTAAATAGCTAAGCAAAATTCAAAGGTTAGCAGCCGCTGGCGTAACAGATGCAATGCGATCCTGTCCGAAGGATGGTTTGAACGCAATTCCTCACTTATTACCCATTAATATGTTTATCGCAAACTCAGCTGCTAACAGCGCCATCAGACTGCTTGGCATGTGGTTCTGGAAAGAAAGACCGTTCGGGGGCGTTTCCATCCTAGACGTACTACCGTCTGAAATTAAAGCGCTGTCCACTGATTATATTCTGTCGAAAACCTAGGTTCACCATAAACCCCGCACGAAATTTCCAACTCGTAGTGACTGGAATCAAGAGAAGGCCGAGTTCTTGTAGGGCTTAACTGTCTTTACAGACGGGTCAAAGATGGAATGCGGAGTTGGTGCAGAGGATTTCACTGAGAAATATAATTTAAAAGTATTATTTCGCTTACCAGACTATGCAAGCGTTTTCCAGTCTGAAACTTTTGCAAATAAGAAGGTAAGGTACATCGAAGAGGATGTACCGTGAGAACGCATTGGCGCACTCTCTTCTACCGCTGTTAGATCTCAACTATTGGATGACTGTAGGAGAGAGCTCGCCTACGTTTCTGATCAATACGAAATTACCATAATATGGGTTCCGGGAAATAGGGACATTTACAGAAATGGGGCAGCTTACGAACTAGTAAGGAGCGGCTCCGCACTGAATGTATACCACGCGGTGGACATGGCCGTGTCACTCAGAGAGTTTAAGACAAAAATTACCGAAATTTTTTCACTCGAAGGCGAAGCATAGGTGGAACTGCAGATGATCTTACGGGATTCTCCAGAAGTTATGGGTCCCCTACGACACACTTAAAACCAAAGCTCTCTTAGAAATGAGCAAAAAAGATGTCTACAAATTTACTGCAGCGTACACGGGGCACTCGCCTTTTGGGGTGCATGCCGAAAGGATAGGACTGCCCTTCAATAAGTTCTGTCGCAGTTGCTATGACCCGGGCTCAAAGCAGACAGTCGAACACTTCCTGTGAAATGATGAGGCTCAAGACACTCGGCAAATCATTCCTGCAGAAACTTTCAGAGTGCAGCTTCCTCTCTCTACATGACGTACTGAAATGTATTAAAGCCATTAAATGGCATGAGCAGATCAAAAAAAGTATGTTCAAAATTACGAAAACCTTGCCACACATTTTTCAGGACTTTAAGCCCGGAATTCTGGAAACATGGTTTTGAATAACACCATAAATCATCAGAAGGCATATGCTCTTTATAGCGAAAGGATAGCCAAAGGGCACAGCCGATAAAATCAAAGGGAATTACGTGCATTAAGCTTGTCAAGTTTATCGCGATGATGCTCTGCTTCAAGAAATTCCACCCTCATAAGTTTGTTACTAAAAATGCTCTTTGGCCGAAAAAGCCTACCGGGGTCGATGATTAAAAGTGTGGAACAATTCAAACCTACATTACATAAAACGAAAGATTTTAGAAACATCCAAAATCACTCAGAAAATGTTCGCTTAAAACAATGTAGCTGTTCACGCTTGCCTGGTTGTCATGTTATCTGGTTAAATCTGGTAAATGTAACCACATAACCACATAACCAGATAACCTGATAACCAGGCAAACGTCAAGAACCACAATAAGGTTGTTCACGCTTGCCTGGTTATCAGGTTATCTGATAATGAAAAACATAAAAATCCAAAAAATAACGATTATTCTTGATCAAAAAAT